CACGCCGGCGTGTATTGTGGCGAAAGTGAGATGTGTGTGAGGGGAGCGCCAGATGTGCCGGCTGTGTTAGCTCAAGGCCAGTGTTATCATTGTCTTTTTAGCGACAGTGACCGTGAGGTCCTAAGGCTCGAATATCGACAGTAGCGGATTTTTGACTCTAGCTTGATAGCTTGGAACGAGTCAAGCTGGAATTCTAGCATCCAGCTGCACTGATTAGTGGTTTCCGAAGTTTCTTCGATCAAAACCAGGCGAATGCCGGAGCAGTACTCTACCAAACGGGCCACAGACCGCGCTCGACATTCCTTCCTCTTACTTGTCCTATCCTCATCCCTTACACACATTTACACTAACATTCGCTACAGTACCACATGCCAGGAGACCGGTTGGGAGCTTTGAACTTGTCGGTGGGACAGTGCCCTGTTAAATAAGATATTTGAGGAGGGGAAAACCCTTCTAACTTTGGAAGCCGACATGCACTGTCACTGCAGGGTGTCGCTTTCCAGTGGTGGAGAAACCACCCTCTTATGGATATGATGTGCACTATACTCAGGGAACTAATGGCCGAAGTACTTGACGCACCAGGAATCATTAAATACTCATTCACTCGAGCGATATCATGTGATATGTGTGTGTGTGCGAGTGAGAGGCCTTCTTAGAAGTGGACGGGGTAGAAATGTTTGTTGATTCACTGATTAATGATGCCGTGCGCGTCAAATATTTAGGCCATTTGTTCCGTGAGTGTAGTGTCCTTTTTTTATAAATCGCGGTAGTTGGCGTTGATCTTCTCCCGATGAAATGCGAGATCCGGCGCCGACGTATCCGTCAGGTGGCGGCGTTTTCCCCTAACCAGGTATCTCCCACGAGCGTGGCACCGTCCCTGCTCAAACTCTAACAAACTCTAACCAAGCTTCTGACAAGTCTCCTGATAGATGTGATAGTACATGTAAGTGATGGTGTATGTAAGTAAAGAGGCGAGAATAGGGCAAGAAAGAGGAAGGAAACATCGCGCATTGTCCGTGACCTGTTTCTTAGGTTACTGTTCCGTCAATCGCCTGGTGTTAGACGAGGAAATCACCGATGAGAGCAGGCGGACGCTAGAATTCTCCGCCAGACAGCGGCTGAACGCGCCCTATCTATGTAGCTAGTGTTGAAAATCTAGCTCCTTCGTCTGGACAAAAAAAACGAGAAATGTTCACTGGCAGATCTAAGCCATGGGGGCCCCACAGACCTACACTTTTTGTTTACCTTCCTCAATTTAGCGAAATTTATATAAATATTAATGTTCGAATTATGTAATTATTAGGCAATAATTTGTATAGTGTCATATCTACATTATAACAACAAATATGTTTATTATTTAAACAAAATCTACGATGCCCCCCGCCAAAATGATCGTCTGGATCGGCGCCTGGAAGAGTTGCCTACCTGTATGTCGATGGGGTAGTAGAAGTCCCAGGGCTGGTCGGGCAGCGCGGCCGAGGGCCTCCGGCTGTGGCGGCGGTAGAGCGGGGGCGGCGCCGGCAGGCCGAGCTCCGCCGCCGAACCGCGCCGCTCCAGGTAGCTGCTGTCCGAGCTCGACACGGTGATGGAGCTGAGGCGGCGCGAGTGGCGGCGGCTGCCCGGCACGGCCAGGTAGCGGTGGTGCACGCACGCACACGCGCACGCGTCGCCGCCTCCACCGCCCCGCCGCCGCGCCGCGCCCGCCGCGCCGCCCGCCGCCGCCGCCGCCGCGGCCGCGCCGCCCGCCGCGCAGCACCGCGCCGCCCTCCTGCGCAAGCACGCGCGTCACGCGGGCACGCGCCCCGCCGCCCGCGCCGCTAAAAGCAACTGAAGGGACGCGCTCCGTAATGGTCTCGTCGTTTACACACATAGAGAAGAACACTGACTCGCTGAGTTGACACACCAACGCCTATAATATATAGATATATATATATATATATATATATATATTATATATAATATATATATATATATATATACATATACATACATACACACAAGAGAATATGCGGATGTCTGTCAGATATATGACGCAAAAAACTATTGGACCGATTTCGCTGAAATTTTACATATTAGCGACCACTAATTGCATTTAACAGCATGATAAGTGCAGTTGACATGATTTGGTGATGATAGGGGGTGAAAGGACGAACACAAATACAACCATGCCGGGACTTAAATCCACGATCCTTCGGTCCGAGGTACTTATGGCACTACTGCCTTAACGATCTCAGTCATCCACATCGGCTATTTTGACACTTTATTTTTATTTGTATTGGAGGAATTGAAAGAGTGGTATGAATTAAATCTGATGTATGGGAGATTGTTGATGACTAATTTATAATGACTTCAGCGCCCCTGAACAAAAGCGCTAGGCAACCCGCAGCACCGTCAGGTATTAGGAGCGTGCTGGCTCCATATTCTGCCCCTGTGAATGTGAAATATCGGTCGAAATATGAACACTTTATGTAACGTGGACGTTATCTCGGAGAAGTAAATCAAATTTCAAACGTAAAATCATGTGTGTGCGTTGTGAGACTTGTTATATGTAAAAATACCCTGGTATAATGACGGGAAAAATTAATTCCTATGAGAATTCTGATCTTGAGCAGACATCATATTCAGTCAAAACAGGACATGAACAACTGGGAAATATGAGTAAGTTGTTGTGGACGTCCCTGGCAGTGAAAATGGTGTGTAAATTAAATGAAAAATTTGGGAGATAGTTACGATATTCTCATTAATACAGTGTATGTTGGAAGGGGCCAACGGAAATGTACTTGGACGAAATATACTACAATTTGTACGACTGAGCGTACGTTGTTTAATATAGTGAATTGGTTGGGAGACGTGAACAATAAATAAATAAAGATATATCAAGCACTGAAGCTGAAATAGTTGAAAGGAATATTGCGCATTGTCTTAATTAGCCATTCTCGTCGCCAGACCCAAAGCACTGAACGAAGCAAATTCTGAATTGGAGGGTCGCCGCGTTACTGCGATAACTGATCTACAAAGGGAAGTAACAAGGCGAGGCAGTAAGCGAGCTAAGCAAAGGGATAAGTAAAGGGGTATGAGCAGCAGGTTATGTGGCTTTACTCGTTGCAGAAGTTCCGTTATCAGGTTCGTTTTTAAACAAAAAGTCAGAGATGAAGTTGTCATTACCCAGCGAGTGGGAGGGAAGAATTGGTATAAGAGACAGTGTTATTAGAACAAGTTGGTGGAACAAAAGATCAGTTTTATCTTCAAATGTTGATTCCATACGATATTTCTGTTACGGCTTTAAGAGAAGGTGATAACGGAACATGTTGGGTTCAGCCATGGTGGGTGAGCTACTCCAGCGTACCGATGTTTGCTCGTTTTGTGCAGCACCAGTTTGCGTCACGTACCACATGACCACAACACGGTCACTTTGTTTAAAAAGCCAGATCAGACAATGGTCACCATGTTGTATGTCACCATGTGCGAGAAGTGTTGAGAAATATTTTGAAAGTGTCATAAAGCGATAATTTTCAACCGTGACCAACCAAAATAAAATAACACGACGAAGGTGTACAAGATGTAATATTTAATAGAAATTATTCATGAATCTGTTTCAATGACTTTCAATAAGGTGATAATTTTGGTACCCGGCTGCATTTAAAACTCTCTCTAACATTGTGACGCAATTTGGTGCCTGAAGCTCATTGGCATAAACTAGAACGACATATTTTTGGAGTTCTCACCTCAAATCAATCTATTAAAGTAAGAAACTATTACGAGTATCTAAGTGTGCAGATTGTGTTAAAACTACAAAATAAGTTATACTAAGCTTGAGTCTATGGGTTCCAGATATTCTTTTCTATTTCTATTTAGAGTCCGACAACAACAATACGAACTGTTGCGCCTCAAAATTACCAAAAAGATACTGGTATATAGTACGTATAAAGACGTATTCTTATGGTTAATACTCAATAATTATATATCAATGATAATTCCTTTCAAATATCCTGGTATGGTTGGCTGGCAAAGAATTGGTTTTCTTCGAAATCAAATCAACTAATGTGATGGTGTCTTTAAGCAATCACGCACAGATCGGGAGACTTGTATTCGTTTGACAAACAGCTAAAGCATTGTTAATAAATGAAACTCGAGAGAAATTCCCAAATTTAATTAGTGAAAATACTTCAGTAGTAGTTTCGCGAGTAAACTCAAGTCGTATCTGTATTTTGGTGTAGAATGAGGAAAGTTTGCGTAGGCCGGACTCAAGAATGTTCACCAGGCCAGATCAATCACGAAGTCTGAAGGGCGAAATTTCGGCGTTGACTGAGCAATGCGAAAGCAAAGAGAGTCAAGTATACCTATAAAATTGACGAAGACCTGTTAAGCTAATAGGTGGTAGATATGGTTTTTAGCATGGCAACTTTGGTAATTGTAAGGATTTAATTACTATTAGATATTTACTATTTCTACAAATATGGTTTATGGAACCTAGAGGAAGAATTATATGTACTACATATAATGAAATATATTTTTACATAAATATAATGCAGCATAAAACTGTTTTCAAAGAGTATTATTAGTAGAAATAATAATAATAATAATAATAATAATAATAATAATAATAATAATAATAATAATAATCTTAATAGTAAAGTCTTAAATACAAGAGTTTTGAAATCGAAATCAGCTGAATGAGGGGCGTAAAAGCGCAGACTGTCTAGGTAGTTATCGGAGCTCTGGGATTGGTTCCGCAAAATTTGTGGAACGAATCGAAAGAATTGGAAGTGCAAATTTTTGTCTTACAAATCGCTAGATGCACATTATTTTAATATTAAGAAGACTTTCGATGCATACCGATCTTATTTTTTTATTTTCAAAACTGCATTTTCTGGGCCTAGATCACTGTTACTGAATACATACTCTTATACTCTTTTTGAATCAACGTATGCTTTAAAACGCGTCCTACACACCTTCCATTTACGTATACGGTTTACAGTTGTCAAAACACTGCTCGCAGCTCAGGGGTTGGGGGGTGGGAAGGGGCGCGGGAGAGCGGTCGCGCATTGAAGTCTCCGCACCTCGTCGTCGTCCTCGTCCTCTTCCTCCTCGAGCAGGTCGTCGGCGTCGTCGTCACCGTCGGCGTCGCCGTCCGCCGGCGGCGAGTCGCCCCGCTCTCCTCCCGCGCCGAAGCCCAGCCCGGGGAAGCGCAGCGACGACCCGGGCAGGCTGCGGCCGCGCTGGCGCACACAGGGGCCCCTTTCAGCATTTTTCTTAAGATTTTACTGTTACATTAACTTTTCATAATACAGAACTGTTATATTGACATTTCTTAATACTGTACTGTTGTATTAATTTTTCGTTGTACAGTACTGTTATATTGGCTTTTTCGTACTATTGTACTGTTCTACTAACTTTTCCGTAACATTGTACTGCTATAACATTTCGTAATACTGTCCTGTTAAATTGACTCTTCGTAATATAGAAATGTTGCATCGAATTCACCCAACCAGAGGTTCGAAAAACCACTCTTAACAGCCGGCGGCCGTTAAGGTCTTAATAGTTCGCCGTCCGTTAAGAGCAATCCAAAGATTCAAAATAAAATGATTGGGTGAGTACGCTTACCTCGAGAAAAGGTAAAGGCAGAAATAAAACATGCCTTTAATTCGGAAAGGACGAACGAAGCACTTCGTTGGCAATTAGAACAAAGCGCTGATTTAACCACGCAGTGGCGCAGTCTCAAAGTCAAAGGGGGCTCACCTGCGTGCAGTAGGCGTAGTGCGCGCGCTCGCCGGGCGGCTCGAGGCTGTAGGAGTGGCGCCAGTGGCGGCCCAGCACGCACGCCGGCGCGCTCATGTTGCCGATGGAGCGACGGGGCAGCGAGTGGCGGCCCGAACGCCCGCCCCCGCCCCCGCCGCCCCCGCCGCTGCCGCCGCCGCCGCCGCCAGCGCCCGCTCGCGCTCGCGCTCCTCCGCCTCCACGGCCGCCTCCGCCGCCGCCTCCGCCGCGGCGTCCAGCTGCTCGTCGCTCAGCGACTTGCTCTTGCACTTGCTCTTGTACAGCACCAGCAGCACCATCAGGCTGAAGAAGCCGCCCAGCGTGGCCGCGATGCGCACGCCCGTCATCACGTCGTACGTGCTGTAGAACTCGATGCGCACCTGCCACGCGCCACGCCCGCCTCAGTCACGACCCGTCCACAGGCGGCTCAGAATGAATGCTACGCACTTCTAGGGCTCGGAGCATGGTCAATATTGCTATTTGAGATAAACGACATGAAACTGACGTCATACCACAATAAGTAGTGGATGGATAGAGACGACATTTTTACAAGCTTTTCTTCAGAATTGTCGTAACGCCCTTCCAAAGTTCGGTAAAGATTAATACAACAGAAACGTGGTCATGCTCCATGATCGTTAGTTTTCGCCTGTCGTTAAGAGCAGATAGGTTCCTAATATATTCCGCCAGACATCAGTAGCGGCGTGGCAGAACTCGTACCTAATATTTTTGTCAGACCCCAATAGCAGAACGTGAGATGAACAGTTTTCACTCGAATAGCAATATTCCATAAAAGAAAATTACAGTATTTGATTAAAATTTGAACCAATTACTTTAAAAATAATCCTCTAAGAACATTTATTATAAACTTGACAGTTTTCATCTTTCACAATGATTGGATATGAAGGAAGCCTCACTCGGAATTTCGCTCGGCAACACTCGGAATTTCGCTAGTTGTATATAAAATAGATTTATGTTTCTGTACACGTGTCAGTTGCCCCTGATTGATAGGCAATCCTTTCTGCACTGACGTTCAGCCCGTACAAGACGGCGTTAGGTTGTGACGTGCCAAGCATCTGCGCATAAGGCGTTGCCTAAAAATTAGAGGACAATGCCACCTGTTTAACTCCATTTTAAGAAAATTCTCTAATTTTTTTCATTGGCAAAGTGATCATTTTCTGCCCCTTTGCATCTCTATAAATCTATAACATTTATTCTGAGGCATCTTGCATATTATATTTGCATGAAAAGAGGCCTACAAAAGTTTTAGAAAATAACAGCAATAAAAAAACAGAAATGAAAAAGCACCCAATTTACACAATTCGACTGCTTTTTTAATTCATAACTTTTTTGTTCTTTCTGAACAAATATATTAATTTATTTTGTAATTAATAAACAATTCACATCCTTCTGGAGTGTTTGTGTGCTTTTGTAATGCACATTTTTGTCAAGAAATATTTTTTAAAAATATTTTTGAGTGCTTATTGCGGCTTAGTCATTCAAAATATCCGCGAAAGTTTATTTGACATAATCTGTTTAAAATTGTCTTAAGAGCTTATTTCCAAAATCGACGTTTTCTCCACGGACGTCCTGTTTATTCGCGCAGTATATATACTGAGCAGAGTTTGGTATTTATCACATAACATGTATAAGAACTGACACCAAAATGAAATATTGATGAACTATTAACCTATTGACATGGAATTCAAGAGGCATATAAATAAAGTTTATTACTTGGTTTATGGTTTGCAATACAGCCACCATTGTGACTCCGTAACTTATGTAATTGTTATCAATTATATTTTGGCTGTTCAAACGATCGTAATTGCAATTGTTAAACGTACAACAGCGACCAGTTGATGAAAGGTATAGGGTGATTATGAACAAAGCTCTTGTCATCTAAAGAATGTTTGCAGAGTCAACTGTATACGAAGCTCAGATTGAGCACCTGGAATTTCACAACGCGATCCGCATTCGCTTTCCGTCTGAGGCAGTCAATCTTCTGAACAATCAAGCCGTGATGCCAGTGCATTCTTAGCATAAGCTACAACCTCACCGTTTGCTTGCAATACCGGGGTTGTTGCTCTCCAGAGTGTGCATTTAGGCTCCTTGGCCTTCATCCCGCTCCCCCCCACGAGCTACCCCTTCGCTGCATCCGCCACACCCGCACGCAGCCTCCAGCGCAGGAGGCTAAGAGCTGTCGTGCGCTCACAGAGAAGCCCGCTTTCACCTGCTCGGGGTCGCGTGTGAGGCTTCGGTGCGAGGCCGCGCGGTCGCAGGCGCGTGGGGGCGTCCGTCGCGTCGCCGGCCGGCGGCCCGCCGCCGAAGCCGCCGCCGCCGCTGCCCTCCGCGCGGGGCGTCGTGACGTTCACCTCCATGGCACCGCACGCGTCGCCCTGCGCACGCGAACACACGCGCCGCTCAGAGAGGCAACCCGGGAACAACTAGCGGCTAGCCGCTCACGGGGAACGTTAACAGAGGAAAAACTAGTGGCTATTCCTTTAAGGGAAACATTAACAGGGGAAAAACTAGTGGCTTCGCTTAAGGAAACATTATCAGTAGGAAAAACTAGTGGCCTCTGGAAGCAAAAATTTTGTAGGACAATACTACACAAAATGATTTTCCAAAAAGTAGCAAGCACACTTCTCAAGAAAACAAGTTAAATACTCTTGCGTAACATTGCAATAAATTAATTTCTCGTATTTCAACAAAAACAGTATTAAAGAATAACACATTATAGTAGGTATTCACACTGTAGAATGGTTCTTGACGTACCAAGAATATCAATAAAGTTACTGATCCATAACGCAAGACGTGAATAGCAAATATTTAATGGCTGGCGATATCCTCCGAGAAGCCTTACTGTCCTATGACGTCAGCCGCTCTGAAGCAGAGACACACTGAATATGAGAATTCGCTATTTTTAGTCAATATAAGAAGTTGCTTAATTGGTTTTTGTATTTTGCCCGGGGTTTTGAGTATCTAACACCACCACGTCTCACATGGCCTGAGGCTGCATAATGGATTTCCAATTACTGCGCGCATTGAAAATCACTAATAACTAATGGTGACACACAGTGGCGTAGACTTCACCGATCAGTTTCCGAATCTCCTCAGTCTAGATACTTTTTTGATTTCGCCCTTCTCGCTACTCAGTTGCCATTAATTGGCGCCAAAAACTAGTTTTTTTCCGTTTTCTCAATTCTTTGGATCCTAAATAGTAGAACTGACTTATTTTTTGACTGAATTTGACTTATTGAAGGGAAAAATCTGATCCTACCTGCTCATTTGCCTAACTTAAGTTAGCGTATCCACCTATAGTGTTGAATATTTCGATGTTGCACGAATTTTCAAAATTTTCGAATTTGGGTATAAATTAGTCTTTAATTCGGGCAAACGTCTGGTACATTACACATACATTACACATACATTTTCTGTATCATGCGTTTTTTTTGTGTGGGTATGCTAACTTAACGTTACGTTAGCGTACCCACTTTTAGTGTTGAATATTACGATGTTGTGCATTAGTAGAAAATTTTTAAATTTGGGTATAAATTAGTCTTTAATAAGAACAAAATTCTGGGATACAGTTTTTTAATATTGTGATAAGTGGGTATGCTAACTTTACGGACATGTTTGTTAGGGTACTGCTCAGGCATTCGCCCAGTGTTGATCGGCAAAATGACGGAAAACTAACGATCAGAGCAGCCGGCCGCTATAATTCTCTTCCAGGCAGAGACTGAATTCGACTCAGCTGCTAAATTTGGAAATTGCATCGCTTTTACAAGCACTTTACCCACTGATTTGGACGGTTTCATCCCTCTTTTCGAGATATTCATGTAAACTGAAAAAGGATGCACTTAAATTTTACATTTAGAGGTGTAAAAAAGAAAGTGGGGGATATTTTTCGAAACATGTTTTAAACTGCACGTTTCTTCTTCTTTTAAAGGTCAAATGAAAAAAATTCTACAAAACCAAATAGTGTTTTAAAAAGGTTTGCAGGGAATTTGAGTTTCCAAATTTAGTGATTTTGGCTTTAAAAAAAATAGAGGATGGCAGATGTGTTACACCCATCACCCGACCAAATAGCTCAAATGACACTTCATTTGCCTTGATTGATGGACCGAAAGGGGTCTAACCGTCTAAGGCACGGGAAGACATGTGTCCGACAGACTGATGGTGGACGGGCGAACGGACTGAATTTACTTCGCTACTACATAAGAGCAATACACAACAACGTACATGTGCAGATCTTGGAAAATATAGAGCATTTCATTTAAATTTTCTGAAACGTTTAACTCTGATTTCATAATGAATATTGATAGTATTGTTCCAGAGTATGTAAACTTAACTCATTTCATCAATTTTTCAGAGAAAGTACTGAACAACAAGAAACATTTATGTGGTCGTCGATTTTCCGATGGGGTACATAGTATTACTTTCTTGTTGTTAAATTTCTACATCTCAACCTTTCATTTGATTTAATCGCACAAGTTCAGCTAGTCTTGTTTATTATGCTAACAACTTACTAACGTGGTTACTGGCTTTTTTTGCTCTTCTCGACCCGGTGTTTTCTATCTTGTTTCCCACTAGTTTGTTCATCTTGCTCTACATCCACAGAGTTCTGCATCAATTTTCGGCTTCCAAAAAATAACGTGATTTACGATGTGGTTAGAGAATAGACTTGTAAAAATAGTATATCAGCCGTCATCGGGTACATAAAAATACTTGGGAATTTAGAAAGACTGACAATATGAGTCGAAGTCAAACCAAACGAACTCCTTGAAACTTTGCACAACATGGCACACACTTATGTAAAATTTCAGAGTTCACACTTAAGTAAAATTATAAGTACTAGTAGCCTGTAGATTAGAAACTCTTAAGTTTTAACTAGTGATGCTGCCAAGTTTTTTGGCACTATTTAGTTTTCTAATACTTTAGTCCAGTCTATATTTTCGGTATTTTCCCACCTTCTTCCAGACAGTTACCTATTGACGTCAAAACGACCTTTTTTACATTTTCTCAATTGTTCGGTCCCAAAATAGTAGAATAGAAATATATCTTTAAAATACCTTCTAAGATTTAAACACAGACATATATGCAACATTTTTATTGAGCGCTTGGAATCATTCTTGAGTAACAATATGAGTCTGAAAATGCGCAATTTTGAGTTTATTCCAATTTTTTTGAGAAACCGCATAAGAAAGTTTTTAAAGCACTATTGTTTTTGTATATAATCACCATCAGAACCGATACCTTTATCGTACCGTGGGATCAACATTTGTATCCCTCGCCATAGAAGTTTGCCGCCTGGGTGTTAAACAGGCAACTGAAACTCTATATCATAGTGTTTCGCGTAAGGATGACCGGAAAAGAATTTTTTTATGTGTAAGAAAAGATAGAAATCGCTGGGGGGAGGGTGACAAGATGCGGGCTGTAGGGTGGATGGTTATTTGGTTGCCCACATAAGGCTCGTATGAAAACAGACCTTATGCCGCAATTGCGCTGGAGATGATTGACGGTCACAGGAAGGAAGCGAGTATTTTTTTGACAACAAGCTAAAGCATATTCATCCAACGATAAATCATTTTATAAGATATTTATCCCACTTCAGATCTGATTCAAATATAAGAAATTGTTATACCACTTCAGATTATCCCACATCCCACTTCAGATCCGATTCCCAAACCTTTATCCTTCGTAAATTTTGTGTTATTCACGTATATTCTAAGTAAATATTGTAGTTTTTCATGTGTCGGAATATTCAATAATCCTGAATGGGATCTCAAACAGTATTAATCAACGTACATTTACCATTATGAGATCTATCAACCACATCGAAGACGGCATCGAAAATGTCGCACGCAACAAGTCATATTGGTGAGTGAGCTGTTGGTGTGTGGTTGATAAGATCTCAGAGTAGTAAAAGTATCACAGGCATGTTGATCCCACGGTGTGATAAATGTCTCAGTTCTAGCCGTCATTATGTGGACTATTCCACTCGAGAAATTAAAACGTTGTGTTTAACTACACATATAAAAAGCCCCAATCAGGGCGGTGTATCGCCAAAGGTTTATCGCTTTTCTATCCTATTTTTCTTACAGCTTCACCTACTAGCCTATCATACACTAAAACTCATCATTCGTAGAAGGTAGTATACATATATCGCTACGTCTATGTCCACGCTAGTCTTGTATGCATTATAACACAACCTCTTTGATTTTAACATATCTTTCAGTTATTTTCAATATTTGGCAACATTTTGACACTCGGATGGACACATTTTCACGCGTGGAATAGTCCTATTAAATACCACCCGTGCTGAGGTAAATCCACTCCTCGCTTGGCGAGTCTGGAATTTATCGACAATTTCCAAAGCGCTCGTGGTATTACCTATGGTGAATAGTATATGTTCCGAATCTGCTTCAATAAAATATTTTCATGAAATTGTACTTTCTTTTTGATGAAGACCGCGGGAAACTTACCTGCTGGATGCGCCTCGCATTTCAAAACGTCTATTACAAGTGAGATATTTTCTTGGCAAAAATAGGTCAATTTATAGAAAATAAAATTTGAAAAACCTTCCGGCATGTGTGGTAGTGTCGTGCATGTGAGTAGTGTAAGTGTGTGTAATGGGTGAGGATAGGACAAGGAATGGGAAGGAAAGATCGCGCGCGGTTCGTGGCCCTTTTGTTAGGGTACTGCTCCGGAATTCGTCTCATATTTATCGGAAAAACTCTAAAAACTACTGGGAAGCCAGTCACTAGAATACTCCTGCAGACAAGGACTGAATTCGATCTAGCTAACACGCTAGTGTCGAAAATCCTGTCAGCGACAAGTCTCGACCTTAGGACCTCCCGGTCAGAGGCACTGCAGTGACTTCCGTTGATGCTCTGAGCCACCTACCTTGTCGCGACTGGGGCGGTGCCCCGCTCGGGAGTTACCTGGAGGAGGGAACCTCGCAAGCCGATGCGTAGGTCAGCGCTGGATCTCACCTTCGAGCGGAGACGGTACACTCTCACCTCCCGGATATGACTTGCTCTGCACTCACGCAACTAATGACTACACCAGCTGTCGCGCCCGGGCGCCCGCTCACCCGCAAGGCACGCACATCGCACGGCGCAGGCTTGGCGCAGCAGCGGCGCGGCCCCAGCCAGTTGGGCTACGGCACCGAATCGACCAAGGCCCTTCCGCCCGCCTGCTTTGGCTCGCAGCGGCGCCGTCGTTTGTTTTCGGCGACGCAGATCCCTAATCGGGTTAAGAACGGACCGCGAGTCATGAACACGTTTCCACGGGTTCGCTCTTCAACGGCATTGCTGCGTACCAGCGCAAAAACGATAGCCTTTCTGTGCCTGCAAAATGTGTTTTCCTGTTTTCC